CTGGCGCACCAGGAATGCCAGGCATGCCTGGAAGACCATCAGAACCGCTCTGTGAGCCAATCACACCTCCACCGTGCAAACCGTGCCCTAGTGGACCACCTGGCACTCCTGGAGAACCTGGAGAGATCGGAGATGCGGGACCAGTTGGACAACCAGGAAGAAATGGAAATGATGGGTAAGAAATGTCAAGTATGTAAATGATATGCATACACTATAAAGCTGATATATTTAGAGCTCCGGGAGAACCAGGCCCAAAGGTCCACCTGGACCTGCTGGAGAGCCTGGACAACCAGGACCGCCAGGAGAAGCGGGAACGCCAGCTATACCTGGTAACTCTATTCAAGGAGAGCCTGGGGCTCCAGGAGATCAAGGTCCAGTTGGACCACCAGGAAACCCAGGACAGCCAGGAGCCGACGGATCGCCAGGTCAGTCATGTGCCTTAATCTTCGGTCGCTCTTCTTATGCGAGAATGTAAGGCGTTTTATAGGTCAACCAGGACCAAAAGGACCGAATGGCCCCGATGGTCCGCCTGGACCAGATGGTAGACCAGGTCCCCAGGGCCCACCAGGTACTTCGGGCAACGACGGCGAGAAAGGTATTTGTCCAAAATACTGCGCCATCGACGGAGGTATCTTCTTCGAGGACGGAACGAGACGCTGATAAGCAACAGCCTGTTGACTTTCGTCAAATAAATGTTGAAGTGAAGTTCTGCGTGCTGCAAACGCGGGTGGTGAAAATAGCTATTCCAATAGTTATGGTCTTGATATGCAACAGCTAGTTGACTTTCGTCGAATAAATATTGAACTGAGGTTCTTCTCCGCTGGTGAAACGCGATGTACACCCCTGGCTCCTTCATTGCAGAGTGCCCCCTTATTCAATTATCTTTGTCCCACTGACGTGTTTATTTGTGATTCGGTTCGTCCGATGCTGAAGAGGTGACTTTCAAATGCATTGTCACAAAGCAAAAAGAGACGGTCAAGACACTCGCAATTCGCTGGGCCGTAGGGCGCTGTGCATCGTGCGGCAACGAGCGCGACAATTCATGTAAGATGTTCCATGATGACAAGAACCGCAATTTAGCTTATGATCTTCACCTTGCGATTAGTCCAGTAGTGAGAGAAAGAGCTTGTATAAGAATATGGTATATACGGCAGCGAACCATGCAGTTCCCGCATGCGGCAAGCGAAATCCCTTACCAGCGCGGCGAATCACAATTATCTTGCTACATGCTTTACAGAAACCACAAGATTTCATGCATTGTGCACCCGGCGATTACAACAGTTAAGAGCCAAGTTGGCTACTACCACGATTTCAAGTCATCGAGAAGGAGGGGAACGAACAAGACAATTGTGATTGCTGTGCCGTCGCGCGCGACACATGGTGCGGCGATGCGCGGCAAACTCTTGATGCGTGTCGATTTCTCGATTGAAACATCGGAAGTAATGTGGATCCAAGGACAGGCAAGGCCCAACGCTCAGTGATAATCTATCTTCGCGTCCCTTCACCATTCAGTCAAAACGCAAAGACAGAACAACTCGTCTCGCCGAAGCGACTCCGCTCGCCACACTCACAAGCGCGCATAATGCGATTGTCTTGTCACATACTCAAGCTGAAGATGCCCTCAGATGTCCCAGTGAACTTTTAGCAAGTACAGGTCTTTTTAACAAATTTTATTCGAGTTCATTGCACAGAATCAGGAATCTGCTGTTGCCATTCTTCGACCTCTTAGCAACATGAGGACAAACTCTTTTAATACAAGCTGCTAATGTTACAATCAGTGATATCTCAGCACAACTCTTATATAAATTTGGAGAACTTGGCTAATCAGATGAATGACTGCGAGTTGAGTTTTACAGCTGCATCGTGACCCTCATTGCTTGTTAATCGTGGCGGGGCCCTCGGGCAAATCTTCCACGGGAGTCGCGGTAGACGATAACACTTGTTTTCCTCAGTCCTCTGAAGAGCACACTATTACGCTGGCAATTTACTGTGATACGAAATTATCAGCTCAGCTCATACAGCTATCCCCGCAAAGGAGAGGGCACGTGAAGCGGTGTGTATTGGAAGTCCATCCAGGGCAGTCTTTTCCGCTCGTTGTTGTGGGCTTAGGATGGCGTGAATGGTGAAAAACGCAGAACTAGCTCCCTCACACGGCTTCTCGTTTGCAGGGATGATGACTGTAATCCTCTAAAATATGACTCAGTGGTGCTTGATACCTTAGAAGGGAATCGTTTGAGTGAATGGCCACATACCCTTCACAAATCTCAGCTTCGCACAAGCTGGTATCTTCGTTGTGTTTCGGGTCGGGGGAGTCAAGAGAGGTGTCCGAAGCTTGACGGCCTATTCTAGGAGCCTCCTGGGAAAGCGATCTTCGACGTCGTGCTTCAGCCCGATCGCGGAAGTCAGATCTGCTGTAACTATCATTTTGAAAGAGTATTAACGACGGTTTGCTACTACATCACTCACCGCGGCAGTGGTTCTCGTTCTTCCGTTGCCCATCCCATTTCTCGTTCCTCGTCAGCTCCTAGTCAAACCAGTATTCAGAACGCATTCAAAGAAATCCTTGCAGTTTCGATACATCTCCACTTACCCATTGTCAATCTCCTTCTGGCTTCTTCCTTACTGAAAGACATCTGCCTACCCTTGCCACATATTGAGCATCGACTCCTGCCACCACTCCAGCCCTCGGAACGATCTTGGAGATTGTATCGAAAAAGCCCTCCGGACGTGCGAGCCATGGTTAGTAAATGAACCACACTCATTTCTTCCTCTTTTTTGATACGCTATTGTGATAACGTTCTTGTGCAGTAATCAGCATAACTTATGAGCTTCGCTAGAGAAAGCTGCCTTCACTTTTTCGCAAGGGTAGTTCTAGGAATGGTTGGCGACAAATATGCAGGCAAAGAGAGCACACTCCACAGATGGTCCACAGAACAGTCCAAGGAGGGTATATGCGACTGGAACTGGTTGAGTAGCTAACACTGGCAGG